TTATATAGATTACGATATTTATCTGTTCCTTAATTACCTTACATTAAAATTCATTACAACATGTACCTGTTCTAAAATTAACTTTCAGTAACATTGATTACGATCTTTACCTGTTCCATATTAACTTTCAGTAAAATTGATGAGGTTATTTATCTGCTTCATAATTAACTTTCACTAAAATTGATTACGATATTCACCTGTTTCATTCTCAACTTTAAGTTAAATTTCGACTTTGTTCAAGAGAAAAATATGTCATTTACCACTTATCATTGACTAGTATCATTAAATAAGAAACGCTGTTGAATGTATAAGTAGTCTATTCATTCAAACATCTTTGCATCAAGTCCTACTTGTATGTATATCAGCAACTATCAACTATACTTAAGGAAAATACATGCATGTGTACTAGAATAGATGGATATATTACTTCAACTTTAGAAACCGCCTCGGTGGTCTTAAAGTAGTGTGGTACAGGAAGTCGTGGATTAAATCCTCGGCCGCGTCGAACCAACAATGATCAGCCTGGAGTCAGAATACGATGTCCGGTTAGGGAGCCATGACTTCCTACAATACCATGGCAAAAAAAAAAAAAAAAAAACGAAAAAAAAAAAAAAAAACAGTACACAAAACATAACAGAAAACTTAAGACTGAGCAACACGAACCGGTAGCAGAGTATAGTTAGTAAATTTTAAATGGTGAAGAAGACACGATGCGAGCAAAGCCATAAAATCATACTTTATAAACTACAGCTGGCTTAGAATGTTACAAAATTTTCTATAAGTAAATATTTAGGGCGTAGGTGACGTCGACCGTAAACTTTAGGTTGCCTGATAGTTGTAAACCTGATGGAAACTGGGATGCCTATGTTTTTTTGCTGTGTATTCTACTTTTACGACATATGGTCTATATAGGCAAAAGTGAGAGTTTGTGTGCATGTCGAACTGGTTAAACAAAACCATATTTCGTGACTGTACAAATTCAAGCTATGTTGACCATGTGTTGTTCACTGTTGTTTGTCTTTGTACGTCTCTTATCTCGAATTTTTTTTAACGGCTACCGTTACCATGGAAACAGCAAAAATGTGAAAAATTTCAAAATGCTTCAAACGTTATGAAACTTAATATAAATGTTAACTATCAAGTAAAAATGAGTCTTTTTGCTTTGGATTTTCCAAAATGGCTGCCGTTGCCATGGAAACAGTAAAAATGTGAAAATTTGCAAAGTGCTCCAAACTTAAAGAAACTTTACAGAAATGTTAACTGGCATATATATATCTAACATTCGACTTTGGAATTTTCAAAATGGCTGCCGCAACCATAGCAATTCTAGTTGTTGGTTGATGTTGTCTGGTGTATTGTTTTACATTTCTGACAATGTGAATATAAAGTAATAAATTAAAGATGGAAAGCCAGTTGTCGGTTATTTTCCACACATGAAGGCGAAACTAGATACCCAAATGATGATTGTGGCCAAGTTTGGTCAAATTATGCCGTGTACAAAAAAAAATGTAGTTTCAGAGGAGAAGATTTCTGTTATTAACTTTTTCCATATGTAATAGTTATTGAAAAATCAAGTCGGTTTATGTGTTTACTAATAACACAGCTTAAATATATTATCTTTTTGTTAGACTTAAACTTGTTATTTTCATTTTTTTTTTATTTTCCACATTTAGAACAAATTATCGAAATTTAAAAAAATCTGAAAGCACGCAATCTCTCTAGATTACTCTGAACGCCTGTTATTTAGATGTTAGTAGTTTTGAAAAAGGGAAACACATTAGGCCACAGAAAGGACGTCCAGTTGACTTATACAGGAAGAAGATGATCATCCATTGGGAAGTATAAGTACATATGTGATAATCGAACACAGAATATTATCCAATCGATTTCATTGCTGACATGAAAACATGACATATTGTACAGATACTAATGTATTGCCCTGTAGGTGTCTTCAAGTTATTTTTTCGGGTTTCTGCCTCATTGACATAAGAGGCGTACTCTTTATTCATATGATACTGAAATGTTCATATTAAAGACCAAATGTCTTTGTTCTTGGGTTTTGGTCTCATTGTCGTATACCTTTATCTTCTTTTATTCGTGAAAAATGTAAAAAGATAAGATAATATAATATTAGATAAGAAGAAAACTATTTGTGTAAAATCTAATAAATCAGAGTGTATTTGGATAACAAAATGAACAATACAAGAATGTAAAATTGACATTTTTCAAATGTGTGACAACATACCTCCACTCAAATTAGCATTTTAATAATAATTTTTTAGAACAGAGATAAATTAGAAAATACTATCTAGCTTCATAATAGACATTTGCGGAAACTAGGTCTATACCTAGGATTACACTTAGACTTACGATTACAGTTGACGAAAAATAAGGGGTCATCTCAAAATTAAAAAGAAAATAAAAGAGATACATAGTAAAACCAAATGTTTTTTTTTTGTATTGTTAATAGGTCTTTTCGACGACAAACTAATGCAGCGCATATGGTCACAAAAGATTCGAATTGCTGTATTGGATGTCACCAAAAAATCCCCATAACTTTGTATATTTTTTTTTTTATTCTCCGATGGCGTGTTCAACCTTTACTCTATAGTGTGTAATAAGTCTATTTAATTTTCTACACTTACTCTACATATTCTGTGGGTTTCGAACAATCAGTTGTCTTGTATAAGGTGTCAATGCTGGATGTCTTTTTGGATATATTTTGTCCCCCGCCAAAAACAACAGAGAACCATACGCTCTCACGGGGAAACATGGTACTACTCTTTATGTTATGTTTCCAAAATTTCGTCTTCATTATTTTAGTATAGAAAAATCAGCAAAAATTTCCTTCAGAGGGTACTCTACAAAAGGTGCACTTGGAAATTACGGGAAAATGCGATAAACAAGTTACACAATATAATTATTAAACCCACCGAAGCGCAGTGCTTTTGAAATACATTTGTATCAATGTCCTTTGTTTTCACGATTACACTTTTGTAACCGCAAATGCTCCCTAGCCGACATAAATAGTGTGTGATTTTTTTGTAACAACTTCTTCTCGCCTGATAAACCTTTGCACCTTTTATTCCTTTTAATCAGAGGAATACTTTGAGAATAAACTTTGTTTTGAAACGAACACCGTCTGATAAGTGCACTCTATTGTGCAATTTCAAGAAAGTTGAACCGGTCTCGGATCATGTTTCGAGCAGACCAGACCCACCCATGTTCATGAGAGAAAATTATCTACATCGTGAAAAAACCCCGTCCATACTCAAATGATTCACAAGATCTCTATAAAAATTGCACAAAAACAAACAACTCAGAACCTTGTAGTCATTTTTTTCCTGTGTCGCTGAAGGCGAAAGCAGGTTTAGAAACCGCTCGACTCTGTCTGTCCGTCTGTTCGTTCATCTCTCAAAAAGACCTTGGGTAGAAAACTTTCCTCAAAGTTTTCTTGGCTTTTATTGAAGGGAATCATTTTATATTTCGTTATAATTAGTAATTATGAATTGCAGCGTGTAAGTAATTTCTACATCTGCCGTACAACCACTTCCTGTTTTGCGATAGTTTGACATTTTACAAAACTCATTCCACAAGGAAAATTTTTGCAAGGTTTTCATGGCTTGATGGAAGGGAAATTCAATAATCATTTTTGCTTCTGAATCAGTATAATTCAACCTCAATCAATTACATGCAGCGACGCAGGTCCAGATCCGGTATTGGTCTTGCTTAATTTGAAAATATAGATATTAAAGTTCCACCTTTTTGAGTACACCTATTTCACATTTCAACAAAGTCTGACGAACAGTTTAAATTATATATTCGACACAAAGATATTCATTGATAACGGTGTTATGTTTTTTCGTATATTTTTTATTTTTTTTTATACCAAAAACGAGGACAAAAGTGTTTGCCTAATTCATAAAAAAATAAAAGATAATAAAAATATACCGAATGGCAAGTACAATGCCATGAAGAATAAATATGTCTTAAACACCCACCCGCTGATCTCCCCATTCTCTTTAAAAAAAAAGGAAAATGTATGTCAATGCATAAACATTAAATACTGTCAACGTGCTTCTTAGTTGATCGCCCTTTCTTAACAATTTCTAATTCTCCCAACCTAGCCAACAGCAATTGTTATTTTTTTTTCACGTCTCGTGTAAAATTTATTAAATGATGTTTTACCATTCTATCATACTCCGTACATTTGCATCATGTCCAACTTTGATAACACTATGTATAATAATTAATCTAAACAAGTCTAAATTAAAAACAACGTTCAAACCTAGGATTGCGTTGGATAAAAAACCGCAATTTTTATACGTGTGCATGCAAAGCAAATTTCTTGATAGAGGGGTCTAAATACAGCACAAAAAACATTTTCCAAAAGACCAAAAAAGTAAAAAAGTATATTTTAACAAAACGCATTTGACTAACAGGTCGAATAACAGATGTTCTTAAACCCTGCTGACTGCCATTGGCGATTGCCAAATAAACGGATCACAAGATGTTACAAAATGGATCTTTTAAAATTTTTAATTTAATACCAAACAGAAAACTATAAACTTGCGGAAAAGATGGTATACCACAAACAAAAGGTGCAAAAATTAATCTTTACACATTACTACATGCATTTTTTTAAGACCCCGTTGTTCAACTATCATAGAAAAACTTCATAGGAGTTACACTTTGTTTTGGAACGACGTTTTATATTTACACTTTGAGACAACCCGAGATTTAAATGCTACCTGTAAGTGTAATTGTAATCCTAATCGTAGGTGTATGACAGTTTCCGCAAATGTCCAATAAGTGTAATATTCATTTATATATAAGTTAATGGAAATATGTCATATTCTTTACAAAAAAAAAAAAAACAACAAACATGAATGAATTTTAGAAATACACAAACTTTATTTTTTTGTTGTTACTTATGTGAAGAGATCACAAAATATGCAAGTTTTTATTGGCGGATGCTTTAGTTGTTGTTGTGTTTCAATACTTCTTGTTCAAGTCTACTTGTGGAAATGTACTTCAATTGACATCATGTCAGCCATGTCGTAATCGCCTAAAATAAAAATGGTGGTTACAGAATCAACGTATTGCTGAAAAACATTTAATTAGAAGGGCAACACTTTGAAATAGTTCACATATATACCCCGTATCACATATATATTCTCTCGGAGGACAACACTTGTAAATAGTTCACATATGTACCCCGTATCACATTTATATTCTCTCGGAGGACAACGCTTGTAAATAGTTCACATATGTAGCCCGTATCACATTTATATTCTCTTTGAGGACAAAACTTTTAAATAGTTCACATATGTACCCTGTATCACATTTATATTCTTTCGGAGGAGGTTTTATGTGTAATCGTCCTAAAAACGTAATTTTACCAATATTGTCATTGAATTTCAAATGTGTATACATGTACAATGTACGATATGGAAAAATGAATAGAGAGACGTGACATCATCTTGTATAAAGCAAGCTGTATAAAACAAATGCGTTATAAAGATCAATATATAAATCTCATTTTTATTGTTTAAGTAATTATATTACAATCTCCCTCAGTTTTTGGTGGGGTTCGTGTTGTTGTTGTACCCCTATTTGTGACATTTTGTTCACGCATCGTTGTCAATATAATGAAATTTGATGCGACTGTCGTACAAGTGAGAGGTTTAGCGCTATAAAACCAGGTTCAATCATCCATTTTCTACATAAGAAAATGCATGTACTAAGTCAGGAATATGACTGTTGTTGTCCATTCGTTTGATGTGTTTGTGCTTTATATTTTGCCATTTGATTAGGGACTTTCCGTTTTGAATTTTCCGCGGAGTTCAGTATTTTTGTGATTTAACTTTTTACATAAAGATTTTTTAAGACCAACTTCTTAATTATGATATATATATCCGTTCCATAGTTTGATCGATGAATTAAAGTTAACGGAGTAAAGGATTGGGTCAATTACTCTGTTATAGAGAAAGTCCAAATAACTGTCCATTCCTGGGAAATAATGGAGCTAACTTAAAATACACCTTAAATATTAAAAACGAATCTTCAGATTAAAACATTTTAAAGAATTTTATCTAATTTTGTAATGGTTTTCTTTTCATTTTCCCCGTGTTGTACCCAAGAATCCGCAGGCAAAATTTAAGATCAAGCTGACCATCTACTCACTCAGACGTTAAGCACTATATTGCGTCTCAATTGGTAACGTCAAAAGGAGTAGGTCCGGTAAGGGCCGATTTTGGCCTCAAATTTCAGGTTCATCCGATGAAAGATTTTGAACACTTTTTAAACACTTAACTGTCTACTTCAGTCGATTCCATTATGTTATGTGAAATATTTGAACTGGCTTAGTCATTTCAGACGCTCAAAGTCAAGCTGAAATATGAAAAATCTATCAAATATGCCAAAATATGTCACTTTTCAGATGTTTTTTGTCAAAAATGAAAGTGGCCGCATCCGTGTTCACTCTCAACCTTTATATATGTTATGTATTATCATAAAATACAACTTATATTTAAATATTAACAATGAACACAAATGCGGCCACTTCCATTCAAGACGAAAACCGTCTAAAATGTACTTTAAATGCTTAAATTATGAACATTTCAGTAATTTAGCATGACTTAAGGGTGCTAGTACCCGATATATGTGCATTCTATTGTCAAAAACAGCCCATATTTACGCAGCAGAAGTATTCTACTTTCCAATAAATAACTAAAAGTTTACATTTCAACAACTTTGTAAAACTGCTATATTTTTGGGCCTAAAAGGGGTCTTACTGAACCTAATCCTTTGACAATTTACGCCGGTAATTGAGGATACTTTGTTCGTTTTGTCGGTTATCTTTTTTTGATCGATATGGATACTTCTAAGTCTTGAATATGCATGAAATACTTCCTACTGTGAGTTACGCAAGCAAAAAAACAATACAAAATATGTATTTGGGTGAGATAATAGTGCCTATAGAATGTAATATAATGCATTGTTCCCCATTTAAATCTGAGCTGAGAAGAGGGAGGAGGGAAGAAGCTACTCATTTTGCTTTAATAAAGAAGTCTGGGTGTTTTGTCGTGTTTTTGTTTTTTATTTTTTATTTTTATTTGGGGGGGGGGGGGGGGGGGGGGGGGGGGGGGGGGGGGAGAGTTGATGATAAGTGAAAGGGTCTTACTAAAAAAGTTAAATATGGAAAAAAATATTAAACACTACTATTTTTCATAACTGAACAGTTAGATTAAGAAAGAAATTGATTGCGTGAAAAAAATAATTATATTCATCTGATATGTTTACAAGCTTTGTATAATATCGAGGTGTAACTCTTCAGGTACAACAATTTTACTGTCACTTTCAAGTTCAGCACAAATGAATCGTATTGCAGAGGAATATCAAATCGCAGTTTTACGCTTCACAAGTTTGAAAATTAACGGTTGATTTTTTATCCTCTCGTAATACAGCCCTTTCACAACTTTAGAATCTCGGTTAAACGAACAACCCCAGTCATCTGAAATATTTTTTTTATAATGTGAGGTCTTTTTGACATTTTTAAAAGATAATTCTCATAATCAATATCGTCTGCCAAAACCGCAATTATCATGTCCTTTTCAACAATGTCTTCAATTATATTATCATTTGTATTGCAATGGTCCTCATTTTTTTCGGAATTCGAGTTATCATTTTGAATCATTTTCGCATTTTAGAACTTCCTATAAATTGCGTTTTCTCACACTCGTTTATTTAAACAGTAATCACAATTATAACACGATAAGTCGCGGACAAGAAGATCTGTAAAATAATTTGTTGATATGATTTGGTGTATCTTGCGATTTTGATCCACGGGTTTAAAGTTTATAATATGGAGACGAGGAATTTCAGCAATGTATTCAAATAGCCGTTTTTTATATATTCCACTCTGTGGATTCTGGAGATTTTTCTGAGCAAAATCATAAAGGTCACGCGCCGTCTGAACTTTAGTTTTACCCCGGAGCACGGCGGAGTCCGCTTGATTCTTTAGAAAACCACCGGCAGCATCGTGTAGGCATTTGCCATGCGAGGTTTCAAAATAGTTTCTAATTAAAACGTCGTACCCTAGATCCGATCTATGTGTACAAACATCGCCCATACAGTTTCGACTTTTATACTGAGCACTGCAACCGTCGGTAAATTCTGGCATAATCTTAATTTCAGCAGATATCGATTTCAAGTATTTTGAAATGAGGGTTTGGGCATATCCAGTATAGTGACGGTCATGATTCAAGTTTGGACTAATGACGAAAAACTGTTCACTAACTATTACCGGTGAATCTAATGTATTGTAGATCCCGTCTACCTCAAGAATAGCATGCCTGTTTAAAATTGTAACGTGTATGCTAACCTCGGTTCTCTGAAAGTATGTGATTGGATTTTAGTCCGTTCGGAACATCGGTAGTTTTCAGAGAAATCGTGAATACAAACTGCGTGATTGGTTGGAAGATTTTGAACAATATTTCTATATTGTTCACTTTGCCAGTTAGCTCTATTTTGATGAGTAATGATTTAAAATGGTTAAACATTTCGCCAGGTTTTGTTTTTATACTAACTAACATAAGTCTGTTCTTGTTTTTCTGCCTTTCACGTTTATTTCAGTGTATTCAAATTTTTCCCACTTAATGTCACGAGCATTTCTAAATATGTCTAGTTCATTATTGATGAAGGACAATTTTTCAACTCCACATTCTTTGCAAGACCGATTTAAACACTTTGCGTGCGGTACAGTCTTATCACATAAAGTGTCAGCACATATGTCATTTTGTTCATAAACTGGTAAGTTCTCTTGGGTCAAGTCCAGATTACTTGCATGCAAATTTTTCCGAAATTCCATACATTTCTTAAAAAGAATTCGAACCTCTATATGCTGCCGACAACAACATGTATTGCGATGTTTTTGTTTGACTGGCATCACGAAAAAAGGATTGTTACTTTCAAACAAACGTTGTGATATTTTAAAATCTGGATATTTCGCTTTGAACTCTAAAAACACTTCAGTTTGCGTTTTTTCGAGCAGGTGTATTTGATGCGAAACATATTCATGAGGACCTATCCGTGAGCGTTTCACGTCTGTTTTGTTAGAACTTGTGCGCGAAACCGTAGGGGATATCCAGAAATCATAAGCCTGTGTTTTTGTTTCATCAGAAGTAATGTCAGATCTTGTTTTCCTCTTTGTGAATTCGTAACAAGATTTTTCTGATCTCAAAACAGAAGTGCGAATTCTTTGACCACCAGAAAGTCGCCGCGGGTGCAATCCCAACTTACGCGCTGCTTTGCTTTTTTCTCCTTTTGAAATTTTTTCACCGCTGACAGAAGCCGATATTACATGCATAGCGTTACGTGCATCAGCATTTTCTGTTTTGTTTCATGTATGAATCCCTTCATATTTTCTAAGACCTTTTCAGAGAGAGATGGACTCTGTCGTTTTAAAGATTGTTTTGCTGTTGGTGAAATACACAGATAGTGTTGTAGTATAGCTTGTTTTGTAATTGGAGATGATGGTAGAGCGTCCTTCAGCCTTTTCAGTGCCCTGCATTTGGCCATCTTATTTCTAAATATTGCATTTCGAATTTCGTCATTTTGATTAGTTATTTGTTTTACATTATGTGTTTTGTCTCGTGACAGACGTTTATATTGATTCTGATTTCTTTTTTTTTCTTTGATTTTCTGCCTTTGATTTCTTTTATATAAAGCGCTTTTGGACACCTCACTTTTCGGACTTCTGATTCGGCTTGCGTTGTATTTGTCTTTATATTTAATTTATTGTAACTTTTATTTTTCTGCTCTTTTCATTTTAGTTTCTTCATCTCTTTATAATATTTAATTCTCTCTGTTCCGGACATAAAATTCTTCTTTTCTGCAATTAATATTTTACCTATTTATTGACAAATTACCATATTTGTTTCATTTTAAATAATAATTTAATTTCTTTTTGTTAAATACTACTAGTATATATTTTTCCTTTGCAGTTGTTATCTTCGTTTCTAACATAGCCGTATAAAGTTATTTCGATACTTGAACAGTTAATAG